GCAACATTTAAGAGATATTAGGAAAAGCAAAAGGATTAGGAGGAGTAAAGGAGGACTCGAACCTTTGACGTCCCACGAGAGATGCCTTCAGTCCGCCTCTGAAACCGCTGCACCGCGATGAACAGCTTAGGAACAGTGATTTTGCCTTGGCGTCTTTTAGTATAGGTAGATGTAGGGAAAATAAAAGGAAGAATTTTTATTTTTATTTTTTTAAAATGAGAGCGTGTGTACTATTTTGGCCTCATGCCGAATTTGGCCTATCCCATTTGGAATTAAAAAATAAAAATAAAAAATCCAATTTTCACTTCACTTATCCAAAAAATCCATCCCTGTTATCCTCTTCTGTTCATCAAACCCCCGTGGTTCCTTAACCTTCTCTTCCCACCTCCGCCACCCACCACCGACACATACAATGGCCAGCATCCTAGTAAGAGTTCAACCTCTGCCCACGACCTCGAATTCCCCGAAGCTGGACAGGTCTTCCTCTTGCGGACTTGTCAAATTTGTTCCACCCCACCACAGAAATTGCTTCCGTCGGCCTTCCATTACTTGTAAATTATACGGGGTCAGTCTTTCCATTTATGTTATAATTTCATTTTCTTTGGCGTTGCAGATTTTTCCATCTATTTTCATTTAGTATTGGATTTATGTCGCACTGTTAATGTACCTTGTTTTGAAATAATTGTTTAATCCCAAATTTCCTACCCGTTTGCCGTAGCATTTGATTTTTAGTTTTTAGAAAGATGCTAATGTATCAAGGATAATAATCAGAAGTACGTTAGGTTTTTGGGAACTGATTAGGATTATGGTCAAGAGAAGAGAATGAAGTTTTTGTATGAATAAAAAATCTTCTATATATTGTTAAACTGTCTTCAGAAAACCGTGTAGGGATTTCGACCAAATCAAGAATGAATATATCCTGCCCGGCTTAGGGAAAGCAGAAAATTTTTATGTGGGCATCTATCTCATGGATAGTCACAATGTCCTCGAAAAAGAGAGAAAATATTGTGTATTTTTTAATTGCGTTTCAAATATTGGCAACAGCGGTAGTCATGCCGAGACTGGAAGAAGAAACTGTTTCAATTTTCTGAGGCATTGTGGAATCAACTTGGATGACTAGTTCAGGATGGCATAACTGAATTATTTTGCTATATCAATAAGGAAGCCATTCCTACCATCTTTAAAAACAAGCCACGAACCGGAGGAATATGAGCGGTTGAGACATCATACACATTTACGCTATAAGTTTTGTGGTGTTCATTAGATTTACAAAAGGTTTGGAGATTAGTTTGCCAATCACTTTATTTCCTGAACACCAGGTGTTTCTAGTCATTTATTATGTTATGTTAAGCGGAAAAGTAATTAGTTTAGCTATAAGAAGCTTAGAAGTATAACAGAGTTCATATAGCATGTGCTCTAGCAAATGAGAAAAATACTTGTATGCATACATACATGGACTCTAATTGTATGCACTGCTTGTGGTGGCAAATGTTCCTACGACCAGATGAAGTAACCTGCTAAATTTAGCCACAGAATGGTCAGTCTTTCTTGACTTGGTTGCGGATATAAAAGACTCGTTCACATTTAGGAAAACTGGAAATTTTAACATTGCGTTATCCCAATAATATTAGAAGCTAAATATATGTTCTTTTAAGTGGTCACTACATTTGGCATAAGCTATCAATTGGAATACAATATGCAAAATTCATAATCATATATCAGCATATGCCATGGACCCTTCAATTAAGCAACATCGAGAAGTAATTTCATTCTGCACAAGTCATGACGTTATAAATTGCAAAGTTTCTCACGAGACATTTTCTAATATATAACCAGAATAAAGATTATGCAGTTCCAAGAAGAAATGTGATGGCCTTGATCCTCGCAGGTTGCATCCTCTCACGAGCTAATATAAACAATATTGCATATGCACAACCTGTTGGGTTCAGGGAATACATAGATACCTTTGATGGCTACTCATTAAAATACCCTCAGAACTGGATCCAAGTACGTGGTGCTGGGGCCGACATATTCTTCAGGGATCCTTACGTTCTTGATGAAAATCTCTCGGTGGATATATCATCACCTTCATCCTCCAGTTACAAGAGCGTGGAAGATTTGGGTTCACCGGAAGAAGCAGGAAAGAAAGTACTTAGGCAGTATTTGACGGAGTTCATGTCTACTAGACTTGGTGTTAGGCGTGAATCAAGTATTCTTTCTACCTCGTCAAGGGTAGCTAACGATGGAAGGCTATATTATGAAGTCGAGGTGAGTTCTTCATTAGGTTCAAGTTGTTTTCATTTCCATTGATCATAGTTATGTATTTGAAGCAATGCCTATTATAGGGCACTTCTTTTCCACTTGGTATCACCTATCAGAGACCTATTTTTTGTTTCTTCTGATCAAAGTGAAATCGATAAAGCCATTGTCTGATGTTGATTACATTTTTTATACAACTAGGTGAACATAAAGTCATACGCGAACAACAATGAATTGGCTGTCATGCCACAGGAACGGGTGGCCCGTCTGGAATGGGATCGGCACTATCTTTCAGTTCTTGGAGTTGAGAACAACCGATTATATGAATTAAGAATACAGACACCTGAAAAAGTATTTGTGGAAGAGGAAAGTGATATTCGCGAGGTTATGGATTCCTTTAGAGTAAATAAGGTGTCTATTTGATGATAATCTCTTTTGAGGTAGCTTTTGATCACTATGGCATTACTAGATTCTTGCAATCATCCATGTTTCGCATTCATATTTACTTTGTTCCTAGTCATATATCGAAGTATATAAGATTACAAGAAAAACTAGTAGAATGTATGACTGTGTACAGTGTACACCCATCGTTTTGTTGCCTTCTTGATTTCATGACAGCAATGTTTAACAAAATTTTGTGAACAATTGTATTATTGTTGCTAGAGTAATGCTATTCATCCCAATGGGACTAGAATACTAGTTTAGATTGTCATACTTGATATACTCAATTAAATGAATCATGTGACAAATGCATTTGGATGGATCTATCATTTAATGTTATGCAGTTGTCATCTAAACTGATGCCTAATCGTAGTGAGAATGAATAATATTACTCTCTCCTCTACGCAATGAGTTTCTTGGGAAAAGTTGCTCTACCCCAAAAACGGGGATTGATGAAAACATGAGATGAGGTTCGTTTGCAATTGACAAAACTAATTAAACCTTGATTGTGAGTGGAGTTTATAAAACTTCTTTTTTTAAATGTAAAGAGTGAGTAATGATTATCCATCTTGTTTAAATGTATCAAATTTCTTTTGCCCATTATTTCAGAAAAATAAATAAATAAAAATGTAGAAGGTGAACGTGCATAACTCCAAACTTTTCAAGTGTCAATGTTTGTACAACAAATTTCGTGGTATAAAAATACAGATATAGTTAGAATTGAAATTTGAGGAATTACGGAGTAATGATTGTGAGGTTGTGAATCCTCTAATTAACGATTCGGGCATCGAAGAGGATCGGTCATGTGGTTTACTTAGACATTTGAGGCTTGAGTTTTTATTTAAACCAGTCATGTTTGGTAAGCTTAAAAAGATAAATAAATTTGATTATAAGTTGAATTGTATTACACGTACATAATAGTTTAAATACGAATAATATGGTGAGATATGATTGTGTCAGAATTTTTTCCATCAAAACAATTATATAACTTCATTATTTACAAGTAGCATTATTGAAGTTTAAATGCACAACATATTTTATTTCCTGAAGTAGAATACGTAAGATGCTTAGGGTCTGTTTGCTACCTTCCATTTTCCAATGTTTTCCCTGTTTGATGTGCAAAAAGTTCCAGAGAATTCATTTTCCATTTTTCCTTCCACGCGCCTAAAGTTCCTGGTTTTCCTTGAATTTGTTTTCTTTTGGTTTTGGTGGTAATTGATTTTCTAGCCTTTTTATTTATTTTTTTTTTAATTGGAAAAAATTTTAGATCCAATGGTAAAAAAATTATCACTTTAATAGATAATTTCCATAAAAAATACAGCCAAACAGACCAAACTTTCAACATTTTTCAGGTGAAAAATTATACAAGTCAAACACAATTAATTACATTTCTCAATAAAACAAATTCTAGACAATTCAATTCACTATAATTCATTTTCTTTCTACCAAATTTTACCTTTGTAATCAAACGGGCCCTTATTTTAATAGAACAATTTCTTTCATAAAACGTAGTTTCTTACTCTAAAAGTTAAAAAAATTATATTAGTTTAATATACTTTCAAAATGAAAAGTTACTTAAAAGTAACTATCCTTTTTAGGCTTAGCCAAACATGGGAGGAAGGGCAGGAAAATAAAGAAAGAAGTCCAAATCTTAATGGCAAAGCAAAACGGCGTAGTTTCACAACACGCCTAATTTCCGATCCCTGAATTCCATTTTAAACCGCGGAAAAACAAAAGGAAATTGTCTTCGATATTTCGTACCGCGAGTATTGAAATCCGTTAACTTCTATAGAACCTTGGAACAACATTCAAAGCAGTTGAATTGCAGGACGTGATTGAATTGTAATTCCCGAAATGGATCTGAATCCAGTAAGTTTTCATTATCTCTGTTGATTTCTCGCACAACCCATAGATTGAAAATCGTTTATATATTTCCACCGTGTAATGGCTGTTTATGAATCTATTGCGATAATTGTAGATAACATTATTGACTACTCCTTTAGTTCAGTATATTTGTTAATTTATTTCGTTTTCTTACCTTAAACCTAAATGGAGAGACCCGATCGGTTCTATTTTCAAAGGGGAATTATTGGGTTCATGTACAATAGTTGCAATTTGTGGATGTGTAATTGCTAAGATTTTAGTGTTTCGTAGGTAAATAAGGTGGTAAGAAATGCAAGTTGATAAAATGCTACTATATTTTTAGCTTGTACTGGGCGATGTAACAATATTGATTAATCAGACAGATTGACAAGCGATTATGCATCCTTGCTGAGCATAATTACTCTCTTCTTTCTAGTGGTTTCGTTGCTCTGGGAGACTATCTAGATTGAAGTGATATATTTGGATGGTTAAGGAATTATGTGATAAATTTCTCTTGTTGGATTCATCTTATGATTTGTTTTTGCATGTAAAGTTATGTTGAGTAAATTGTTCCTCAGAACTGATAAGGTTATAAAAATTGTTTTTATTACAGTTATCTGAGTATATATACGTTATTCGGGGATGAAATAAAACAACAATGGCTGATTCTGGAATTTGACTGTTAACTTTAAACTATCTATTCTGGAGTATTTTGTCGCTATTTTTCTTAATTGTAGTCTACTTATTCCAATCAAAGCAGCCTTAAGAGTGTCTTCTGACTAGAAGAAAGAGTAGAGTTAATATGCTAAGCAAAACATTGAACAGAGAAGAAAGTGGGCTTTAGTCAGACGGCTGAGCTTGATGTTGCTTCTTGAGCACATTTAATATCTCTAAATCTAAAAAGAATTAGATATGGATCAGTTGTCTTCCCATTGCTCCCCCACCCCCACACACCACCAACGCACACTTAGACAAGTAAACAGAATCAGCATTGCGGAGAGCTAATCTCAAACTTCTTTCTTTTTGTGCTTAGCCTGCAGGGGAGAATTATGCTAATCCGCAGATATGCTTCTTCCATGTGGTCTTCAAGGTTGAATATATGTTTTTGTGATTGTTTAGGTACTGTACGATTTTGATCTGCATCAGCAAGTTTCATAACATAATGTCATTGTTTCTTTTGTTCCAGGCTGCAGCTTTGGCATTTTATATGCTTTCAGCATTCTTTGTTGATAGTTTTGTCATCATTTTTGTGGTTACTGTTCTCCTATCTGCACTTGATTTTTGGGTTGTCAAGAATGTAAGTGGACGCATCTTGGTGGGTTTAAGGTGGTGGAATGAAATAAATGAAGATGGTGAAAGTGTATGGAAATTTGAATGCCTTGATCAAGAGGTTAGCAGTAATGATTTTTGCATGATATGCCTCTGTACAGTTGGTCTTTGCTTCATGAATTCATGTCTGTTTGAATGTGTCTCATATTTCTTACTGTACTTTTTGCCATTTCTCAGTCACTTGCACGGATGAACAAGAAGGATTCATGGCTGTTCTGGTGGACCTTATACCTCACAGTGAGTAAATATGTTTGAAATAAACTATCTCAAATCTCTCACATTTGAATGTTCGACTGGAATAAAATGGACAAAAAACGATAAATTAACTAGCCATCTTAGTGAATTTTGAGCAGAGATTCTGCAGCATACATTTAGGTCAAAAAATTTTCGTATATTGGCTCTATATTGTGAAGCCTTTCCTATATGTTTGAATTTGGTCAGCCTAAATTGTTGCTTTTGTTTTATAGGCAGTTGTGTGGATCTTCTTTGGGATATTCTCTCTCATAAGGTTTCAGGCCGATTATGTTCTAGCTGTTGGGGTATGTTTGATCCTCAGCATCGCTAACATTGTTGGCTTTACCAAATGCCGAAAAGGTATGTGGGCTTACTATGTTTCACATCAATCATTTGTTAAAGGCATCCTACATGTTTCGAACTGCACAAAATGTTCATTTTGACCAGTCATGGTAGATGTAAAGAAAACTTTTTGTGTTCATACCAGAAGGATTACTTATCTTTACTGTATGATTCATCGTAAATTGATATGATAATTCATATTTATGATGCTAATTATAATATAGTGGCTGTCGTCTGTTGAGGTGGTTATTGTTAGTGCCGAAGTGCACTGTTAATTCATATTAGTTCTTCAGGCACCCTAGCTACCTTGTGAATTGATTGATTCTTCTATTTTATTGAGAGGCTTTTGCTTCTGCATTTCGTGCATTTCTGGATACAATGCACACAAATCTCATTCCTGCAGTTTACTAATAATATGTAGAATAAACCATTTACTTATTCATATAATTTATCTCCCTGAGGAATAATATCTATCCTTTTCTTCAGATGCCAAGAAACAGCTTCAAGCATTTGCCACCCAGAACCTTACTTCTCGGCTATCTTCTACCATTCAGTCAGCATTCACCGTTATATGAACAATTCGATAAGATAAGATTGAGGAAAGAGCTTCTGAGAACCGTAAGAATTTGAGGTTTTTGTTCATCTGCTCGTTGTATAAGGTGACGTAGAATTGTTGGTTTTGCATACGCTCTTATGTAAATTTTGATCAGAATGCCTTGTACATGCGATCTATACTGGAGAACCTCATTCATAGACATGTTAGGAATTCAATTGTTTGATTCTGTTGAATTTTCCACATTTTTTCATACAATGCTTGTGCGTTAAGTCCACTGTGTATATTTCATATAAAGGTTTTTATGTGGTGTGGAAGCAGAATTGGAATTCTTGAAACAAGAATAAAGTTGAAAAACTTGATGAAGAGGATTATTTGATCATAATAAATTGGTTAATTGAAAAGTGTATAAAGTCACGGTTAAAAAATTGGTCACTAAATTTTAACTTTTTGTTATAATTTGGTCATGTCACTGCACTTCCGTCAAGATCCTAACCAAGTAACCAACGTTAGGTGAATCAAATAGATATACTCAAAATTATGTAATTGAATAAAAAAAAAAAATCTACCTCGCGATTTTATACTGAATGGGTGAGTTCTGGGAAAGAAAGAAGCATGCTCGAACTCATTGAACGCTATGAATGAGCCTTCTTCACTTCAC